AAGAAAAGAAGAAGGAGGTAGGCATTGCCTTCAAGTTCACCAATGAGAGCTATCAAGATTCAAATGAAGAGGTGGATGAAAACGATGATGAAGAATAAGAGATGGCCAAGCTCTTAAAATATTTCAAGAGATTCATGTCTTCCTAAGAAGTAAATCATGAATCAACCAAGAAGAAGGGTCCCCCCGTGTGCTTCAACTGTCAAAGAAAGGGGCATGTCAAGTATGAATGTCCTCTCCTAAAGAAGAAGGGATCATCAAAGAAAAAGGCATTTGTGGCAGCTTGGAGTGATGAAGATGACTCCAATGATGTAGATGAAGTAGCCAACCTATGTCTCATGGCCATCGAAGAAGATTCTGAGGTATCTTCTAAGTCAAATGATTTAAATTTACATTGTTTTGATGAGTTACAAGATGCTTATAATGAGTTGTATTTGGAATTTAAGACAATGAATCCCAAATATATGAAATTAATTTTAAAACTCAAAGTTGAAAATGATTTAGTTTTGAAAGAAAAAGTTTACTTTGAGAATCAAAATGAAATTTTGAAAAATGATTTAGAGCTTTCAAAAGTCAAAATCAATGATTTAGAAAAAGAAAATTTTGATTTGAAAGTTAAGCTTGAGAGCTTAACAAAAGAAAAAGAATTAATTTCTCAAAACAACTCATTATGTTTAAAAATGGCAAAATGCTCATATTGTCATTTCCATGGTCATATGGAACATGCTTGTCCCATAAAGAGAAGAAAATCTTTTAAAATTAGAAAAGTATGGGTTCCTAAGGGAACAAGGGGCATTGAAACTAACATCTAAGGATCCAAAGCAATTTGGATACCAAAATACAAATAAATTTCTCTTGTAGGTGTGTGGGAGCAATGGTGATGAATGAAGAAATTGAGATGCTCTAGCCACACTTGAAAATGAATGGGAAACCTCTAAGCTTAACGCATTTGATTTTGATTATTTAGTTACTCATTTAGTTTTAAGCATTCGAGAGTTTTAATCTTAAATGACTATGTTTTGTTTTTCATCTCATGTATGTTGAAAAAGTTTTATGATGAACGTTTTAAATTTTTAATGATTTTTCATAATTTTTAGTTCATCACAATGAATTTCGGTCAAAATTGATTTTCAATGCATATGATATCTCTCTAACAATTGATATCAACTTTTCAAATGCTTTGATTTTACAAATTTTAAATTTTTGAACTAAATTTAAATGTTTAAGCATGTGTTTTAAACATTAAATGTGTCTCTCTAACAATTGATATCAAATTCTTCAAATGCATAACATTTTTGAAAGCTTTATGCACATGTACTTAATTTCAAATATTGATATTGCATAAAGTATTTTAGACTTGGATATATTAAATTTCATGTGCTACTAACATGTTTGTTATTCTTTGAATAAAATTCAATTTTGTTTAAGTGTCAAGATTCTAAAGCTAATTTTGTTTGGAATGCACTTTCTGAGGGGGAGCTTTGATTTTTCAAATGCTTTTAATGTAAATTTTACAACTTACTCTCCAAAGTTATTTTTGAACTTTAAAGTTGAATTATTTTTTATCTAACAAAAAGGGAAGAAGTATGGCTTGAAAAATTCAAATTTCTTAATGAAAAAGGGGAGCTGGACATTTTCATACATTTTCCAACAATTGATATCTTTTTCATTAAATATTTTACTAAGGGAGAGTTCTGCCAAAAACAAATTTTCAAATGTTTTGTTATATAAAAAAGGGGGAGATTGTTGAACTATATTTTGATATAATAATTAAGGAAAAATGTTTTTGGACTTGAATTGAATTTTTTCAAAGTTTTAAAAAATAATTCAAAGTCCTTAAAGCTTGGAATTAAGCAAAAAACATTTTTCTAAACAAGTAGTACCGATATTGTTCTTACAGTATCGATACCAATTGAACAAGTCCTGATATTGTTCATATGGTACCAATACCAAAGGCAAGGGAATTATCGATACTCATTGGGTAATACCGATACTACCAGCTTTGCTCAAATTCCAGAATGCAAAAATGGTATTGATACCTAAAGGTGTACCAATACTACTCTGTATAGTAGTATCGATACCATATGCATAGTATCGATACCATAAGGCCCCAACAGCTAGTAACGGCTAGTTGAATTTAAATATAACAAATGTAGTACCGATAATCCCTTTAAGAGTATTGATACTCCTTGGTCTGGGCAACTTTATTTTGCACGAAAATTGATCCCCCAACGGCTCCAAACAACCTCTAACGGCTAGAAACAGCCACAACAACATTCCAACATATAAATACAAGTTGAGGACACTTGAGAAGGGTTAGAACACCTATCCAAGCAATCAAACACAAGAGAATAGTTTTTCAATCTTATTTTAATTTCTCTTGTAAATATTTGTGTTTTTGTGAGCTTAATTTGTAAACACCCTACCTTGTAGAGGTTTATTTGTTTACTTCCTTTTTATCCTTTTGTAAAGGGGTTTTGGTTCTATCTTAGCCAATTCAAAAGATAGGGAGTTGTAAAGGTTACTCTTGATCCTTGAAAAAGAAAGAACAAATTAGTGAATTTGTTAAAAAATCCTTAGTGATAAGCTAAGGTAGTGGATTTAGACTTGGTTGAGAAGTCGAACCACTATAAATCCTTGTGTTCATTATCTTATCTTTTTCTCTCCTTACTCCCTAAACAAATCTTATCTTTTCACCCGCTTTGCACATTTTTCAGTTGTGTGATTTGAGCCTCTTCGATCCTAACATAGATCTTTCTAGGTTTGATTCTTAGACAAAGAGCAATGTTCATCAATCTGCTACCATCCCATATCACAAGGTTGTTTGGTTCGTACATTTTTTTAAATAATTAAACTTTTACTTTATAATATTAATAAATACACTTAGATATATTAAATACATTGTCTCCACCACCATCACCGCCTCCCTAAGTGTAGGGACAGAACCATGAATTTATTAAGACAGGGGTTAAAGTATTTTTTATTTTTCATAAATACATTTTTTTTAATTGAATGAGTTCGTGTAATTTTTTCTTTATTTATTTTTAAATATATATATATATATCAATATTAATTAATACTTAAAAAAATTAGCTGGGGCTAAGGCTCCTCTTGAACCTTAAGAAGGTCCGCCCATGCCCGGATGTCGCCTTAAGGTGCGTTTGGGATTGCTTTTAGGATCCAAAAGCACTTATTGGCAGCAAAATCATTCCGAAACACAGATTTTAACTTATAAAAACCGTTTCAAAAGTACTTATGGACTCAAAACGGAGAAACTACATGATAGGGGCTTTTGGCCTTTTGTTTTTGGGGTTTTGAGGACATTACGAAAATAACCTTGCTTCCAGTCCTGTTTTAGCATGAATATTTTAATTACACTGTACCTCATAAGCACTCGTTTAATATATAAAATTATAAATTTGTGCTAATAATTTATTTCTAATATATATATTAATATATATTAAATTTAATAATAATTATGTTTACAAGTGATAATAATTTTTAATATATAATATATATATTTAATTTAATTGAATAAATAAATTATATTAATTATTTATAACATATTTAAATTGATATATTTTAAATTTTATCTAATAATATCTAAAATAAACATTTTATTTAATTTTTTAAACATTACTTAATTTATTTTCAATTTACAACATTATACCTAAAATTAACATTTTATCTGTTTAAAAATACTTTTTGACAGATATACCAATCACTAAAATTTTAAATTTAATTTTTCAAAAACACATTTAAAAGTTGTTTTCAAAAATAATTCACAACAGCATTGACAGACTAACCATTATTTCTAAATTACAGTCAGAAATTGCAGCCCATTCCTGCAATATATTTTTTTTTAATGTTTATGAGTTGGGTTCAATGACTCCTTCAATTCACAGTTTGTCGGCAACTACCTTCACATAACTATCTTTTATTATCTTTTCTCTTTTTTATTAGAAAACAAAAGTTGGCCATTGTTCATCCTTCGTACATGTCTGCTAATTATTCATTTCCCGACTCTTACCTGGGGTTGATATCCTACAAAGCATAAATAATTTTAGCTGTTGTAAAGGCCATACTAAGCTCATTATTCATTTCAGGAGTTATCACAGGCTCAATAGCCTCCAATATACAATCATGGATAGTAGGGTTAGAAGTAGCAAAAAGATCATGAAAATAAAACACAATGATACGTCAAACTTCTCTTTTGTCCTCTTGCCAATGACCGTTACTATCAAAAAGCCCCTGTATGGAATTCTTCTTCTTAAGCCTGCTTGCACACGCATGGAAATAGGACGTATTCCTTTCCCCTTGCGTTAGCCATGCAACTCGGGATTTTTGAGCCCAGAAGTTCTCTTTATCAAGCAACATCTCCAACTCAACTTTGGCTTTAACAAATTCCTTAATCTAATGTTCCGAAATATGGTACTGTAAACCTTTCATTCAAGCATCTTGCACTTTACGTCGACAGGTATCTTCATTGGCCCAACATGTATCAAACCGAAAGTAGTCACCCCTACTGTGATGAAGAGGGACCCCGGTTTGCAAACTCAGAATGATATGCAAACTCAGAGTAGACCGTACAAGTAGCATGGGAGAGGAGCCAATCATTGCCTACAATCATTTAACACTCTATTTATTTAAATCTTACAAACAATGACGGACAATTAGGAATCAGATTCTGCTATTGTTCGACAGATTATTTTTATTAACTTATAATTTTTATGTTTTCAAAGTTACTTCTTAAAATTTTATCCATATATATTGAGTATGAATACAAATATTAAAAAAGAATTGGGTATCATAAATACATTCTTATATATATATATATATATATATATACACACTCCACTAATATTGAAGAAACGAACAACAGTCTATCACACGTAAGATCACATAGATACATGCATACTGACACTTGTCTGATCACATGCATGGAACAGACAAGAGGCTCGAAATTACTACTAATAATATTTGTAGTCTTCTTCTCTATTAATGCCAAGGAAACCCTGCAAATTTCTCAACTCCATCTGTTCTTAACCCTAACCATTAACCCATTCTTCATCTGATAAAACGCACTGTTCTTGGGAACAATTTTCTGGCCTTCAATTACATGAACATTGAAGTTATGAATAATCACCGTTGCGGTAGCTTTCATCAAGAGAAATGACAACTCTTTCCCTGGACAAATCCTCGGTCCCGCCAGGAACGCGCAAAATTTACTTGGTGACTCTCGTTTAATCTTCCCTTCTTTACTGATCCACCTTTCCGGCTTGAATTCATTGCAATCTTCTCCCCATAAACTTTCCATCCTTCCCATTGCATGTATTCCGATTAAGACTCGGGTGTTCCGGTCGACTCGATGACCGCTCGGAAGAAAGTCCGGCTTCGTACATGTTCTGAATTCGAACGGAATCGGTGGAAAGAGCCTTAGGGTTTCGCTAATCGCTGCATGAAGATACTTTAGATCACTCAACTCGTCGAAGTTAGACGGTATTTGCAAACCCTCGACTTGTTTCATCGATAAGTGTCGCTTTATTTCTTCTCTGATCTTAATTTCAACCATGGATGTCTTGGAGATGAGATAAAAAAACCAAGTGAGAGTTAAGCTGTAGGTATCGTCACTGGCAAACAAAAAGTGTATGATATTGTCTCGTATAAGACTGTCCTTTGCTGTTGGGCCTGTAATTTCATGTCCCGTTAGGTAACACTTCAAGAAATTGAAATCATCGTCTTCACTCGCTGATGCCATTGTTTTCTTGGATTTGCGGCGTTGGATCGATATATAATGTGTTAAAAGATTATCGAAAGCTTTCCAAGCTTCAGTTCGTTTCTTCTCTTTTCCAATCTGAAGCCAACTTTGCAGCTTCCAGACACTGTCGGGCATCACATATCTGTAAAATGCTGCTTCAAGAGTATCACTCATGGCTTTATGGAATCGGTTCTCGGGGAATTCAATGGAGAGTACGCCGGGGTTAAAGCCGACGGCCATTATGCAACCGATATCAAACGCATGCCTCACGAACAAATCCTGCAAGTTCACCACCATGTCTCGTCGAGAAACATATTCAAGCACCTTAACCAGCCCTCCCTCGATACGTTGATGGAGAACCTTTGAGAGTGATTGCTTGAACTGTGGGTGGTGCAAGAAAGCGTGGAACACTTTCCGGTGACGTTTCCAAGCCTCACCGTCGGAATTGAAAAGCGCTTCTCCGAAGATATCAAACTGTTTCAGCCATTCTGAACCTTTCAAATAATCTGCATTGTTGGAGCTCAATATATAGCGCACATTCTCAGGATCTGAGGTGGCCAAGAAACTGGTGTTGGTAAACCAAAGTCCCTTATAAAAGAAGGTGCCATTGCTTCGTTTGAGAACATCGGCAACTTTGTCATGAGGGCGATGGATGTTGAGAAGTAAGGCTGGAATCATCCCGACAAATGGCCAGTTTGGAGGGAGAGAATTGTTGTCGATGAAACGATAGAGAAAACGAAGAAAAATAATTCCAAACACCATGAATTCAAGATAGATAAACACTGCCATTATGCTTAAGGAGTAAATTGTATGAAGTTGCTTATATTGAGTAACCAGTTGGGTCCTTATATATAGATTTATCATATCGATGAATCAGGACAGCTTAGTTATGTATAGAATTAGCATTCATATCCATATTGTCAAGTTGCAATGACTAATAATTATAAGTAATGGGTATATATATGTGAATGCCAATATCATGTTGTTATGAAAGTCAAACATGAAATCATCTATTAGGGAAGAATGATGGAAAACCTCCAAGTTGATTAAAAAAGAAAGCTAATGAATGAAATCAAAAAAATATATAGGGGCAATATGAATGGCAATAATATATTTTTAAATTTTTAGTAAAATAGCTCTCTAATATTATTACCGATTAAAATCGCATCATTTTAGTAAAGGTTCGGCTACGTGGAAACCTTCAAAAGGTGCATTTTTAGGGCATTTTTTTGTCTGTGTGACAGGTTATTCGGGTGGTATGTTCCATGTCGATATCACACAGTCAAAATAAAAAATAAAGAATAATGAGTAAAAAACTATAAAAAGCTGTACAAATTTTATTAAAAAGAAATAAAACGAACAATACGTGCTCGAGACACGTGTTTGCAAATGCACAAGTAGTCAGACAACAACTGCGGTATACACGAGTAAGTTTATCTTCAATTACTAAATGAATGCATGGAGGGATATTTAAAATGTTAATTCGGTCAAGTTTTTTTTATTTAATCATTAACCAAATCAAACTTTTTTAAAAAATTATTTACCAAAACGAATAAAATTCGATTAATTTCATCACTGATCGAATTAATCCAATTTTTTGCAGTTTTTAGTTATATTAATTTATATTTAATAGAAGTATTTTTTTCATTTGAGTTAAAATTTAATTGAGTTTTGAAAGTTTAATGAGTTTAATGTGATAAAAAATATTTGTTTCTTAATTCTTAATATGTTTGAACTTAAAAAATATATAATATACTTAATATTTTTGGTTAATTCAGTTAATTAACCAATTTTGAACCGAATTAACCATTAACCAAATTTTGAAAAATTTATTAATTGTTAATCGAACTAAAATCAAATTAATCGACTGATTAATCGAACTAAATTTTGATTCAGTAGATTAATTCGATTTTAATAAAAAATGACTATCCCTACATGTATGTTTAAAAAACTATATTTAAACACTTTAAAAAAACTCATATATAAACAATGTGAAATTTGAGAAAATTATGATGTAAATTTGTTGGTTTTGAGATGTCAAAGATAATTTTTAAACTTAATCAAAATCGTATTTGTACAACTGTCAAAGATAATTATTTCCTTATTAAATATTTGGGATCTCAATATCCAAAACTTTTGACTGTCATACTAATACGAGTCAGATCAAGTTTAAGAATTATTTTGACAACTAAAAGATAACAAGTTTTTATCATGATTTTCACAAATATCACATTGTTGATATATGATTTTTTTTTAATTGTTTAAATATATTATTCTAAACATACAACCATCGAGTGATTGAAGATAAGGTCTACATATGTGTGTCGTCATCCGACCAGCTCGTAAAAATTGTTTTTTTATAAAATTCGTACAATTTTCTTTTTTACATTTTTAGTACATTATTCTTTATTTTAGCCTTGGTTGACGCCAACGAGGAACATATCGTCTGGATGACTTACCATGTAGGAAAAGGGACTTCATAAAAAACGCATTAATGAGTGTTTAATATTGCATATATTTATTGTTATTTACTCTTTATTTTTCTATTGGATATTACTGATTTATCTTTATTTTGGGTTTATTTTGGACAAGAGCTTTATTGAATTAATTAGCCCAAAAAGTACTGATTTCGATGGTCCAGTCAACATCTTCTAGAAGACGAGCAGAGTTATCTTGAATATTTAATTGGAATTTACCTAGCATAAGGTTATCCATAAGATGAAGAAAAATTCCACAAGAAGTAGAAGACTTAAATATTTGTTTTTATCTTTTGTGATAAACCTTTTAGATTTAGGATTTTTAGTTTGATTATTTTATTATTATTTTATTTACAAATTAGTTATTTTATTATAACTCTTGGTAGGATTTTTATTTTGATTAGGAATTAGTCATTTTATTTACTTTGAACTTTCGGGTTATTAATACACTTACGTTCAACCTTTGAAATCATATTGGAATTTATATTTCCTTGGGTATTTATTAAAGTTCTACTTTTCTTTCATTATTTTCTTTTCACAATGCTAAACATGATTCAATCCATGCCTAGCTAAACTTCAATTAGCCAAAAGCTAAGCAACAACTCAATTTGCTTTGTGAGAATTGAAAAGAACTTCATACCTTCAGGTGTCTTTCCTGATTTTTTTCAAACAAGGATTGACAATCGACCTTTCCTTTAAATATCACAACACTTTCAATTCCAATATTGCACTTTAGCTTAAATGTTGCTTTGATTTGCCGTTAGAGAGAAGAATACGCTTGTAGCAAATTTAACTTCCTAAGAACAAACTTAGCGGTGGTCCGCTAAGGAAAATCAACATTAGGTTCGACTCTCATTGAGACACCATAATCTGAGCAAAGGATTTTTCAACACTTAAAGTAGCATTAGTGTTAACATCGATAACCGTTGTTATTCCAAACAATGATTAAATTCCAAGGATTAACTTTGGAAATTAGTTCACAGGAGAAAAGAGCAAGTTACAAGGGTTGGGCCTTGTAGATTATAGCCTGCAAGAATCCCGAAGTAAAATCTATTTCAGTGATTGAAATAAATTCAAGTGAAGCGAAGCTGAAGGCTATCTCTCATCATAATTATTTTCAATCATCTATTTATTTTATTTTTATTTATTTCAATTTATTCATGTTATTTTGCTAAACCCCCTTTATTTTCCTTTTATAGTTTACTTGGGCCAACATCAATTTAAACCGACATTGGAAATTTCTAAGTCCTTGTGGATCGACTCTTTCTTCTCTATACTACATTCTTATCTTATTTAATTGAGAAAAAGGCTTAATTTATTTGATAATTTTGATGTTTTTCAAATTGGCATCGTTTCCATGGACTTAGGTAAATTACTGATATTGTTTGTTTTGATTTATGAACATGAAAAATCTGGGCGAACTAGTTGATTTTGAACCTGGTATTGAAGTAATAGCCCAAAGACTACACGCGCGCATTAGGGAAAGAAGACAAAAACAACGAGACAAAAAATCGATCCCTATGGCTGATTAGACAATCTGATAATTAGCTACGACACCTATTTTACAACAACCATTATGCATCGTATTCCCAAATGGAGAAACACCATTTGAACTCAAGACTGTATTGATCCATCTTTTACATACTTTCCATGGATTACCGAGTGAAAATCCTCACAAACACCTTACTGAATTTTATATGGTTTACTCTAGCATGAAACTACAAGGAGTATCCGATTATCAGATTAAACTTTGTGTTTTTTCATTTTTCATTGGTCGATTTGGCTAAGGATTGGTTTTTTACTTACCACCCAATTTTGTTACTACTTTGGTTGATATGACTCGTCTTTTCTTGACAAGTTCTTCCCTGCTGCGAAGGCAAGTGACTTAAGGCAAAGCATCTTAGAAATCCAAAAACAAAGGATGAAGAGTCGTTATATGACTATTGGGAACGATTCAATAAGCTCTATGCTCACAAACACCTTACTGAATTTCATATGTTTTACTCTAGTATGAAACCACATGGAGTATCTGATGATAAGATTAAACTTTGTGCTTTTCATTTTTCCTTGGTCGATTTGGCTAAGGATTGATTATTTTACTTACCGCCCAATTATGTTACTACTTGTGTTGATATTAGTTGTATTTTTCTTGAAATGTTCTTCCATGAGGAGAAGGCGAGTGAATTAAGGTGAATAATCTTAGGAATTGAAGAAAAAAAGATGGAGAGTCGTTATACAACTATTGGAAATGATTTAAGAAACTTTTTGCTAGTTATCCACAGCATGGGTTAAACGAACATACTCTTCTCCAATATTTCTATGAATGACTACCTCCTATGGAGATGAAGATAATTGAAGAAATTAGTAGATAAGCACTTGTGAATATGACTCCGTATGTGGCAAAAAATCTAATTTCTACCATGACCACTTACTCTCAATAGTTTGGCTCTTACAATGAACCTACTCGTCGGGTTCACGAGATAAGTAAAATTTAATTGGAAAATAAAATTGATAAGCTGGTTGATATTCTTTAATCTCTTTTTGCAAGCAAAACATGTACTGCTAGACTTTAGGGAATATGACCATGTTAGACCATCTTTCGAATTATTGTTCGATGTTACAAAAGACACTACCGCATAAGTAAATGCTATTGGTAATTTTCTAGGACCTTCTTAGAGACCTTACAATCCTCACACAAACACATATAATCAGGGGTGGAGGATCATCCGATATTTAGCTATGCACAAAATCCTAGGCCAAATTAACCATATAAATTGAGGCTACCTCTACAACAGTCGTGCTAACCACTGAAATCTTCACTAGAATCCATCATTGAGCAGTTGGAACTGTCTCAATAGAAGTTTCAAAATTGAACTAAAGCTTATCTACAAGAATTAGATAAGCAAATGGCCCTACTAGATCAGACCGTGGGACAAATGAAATCACATGGAAAGCTACCACCTCAAACCGAGGAAAATCCATAAAAAACATTAGTGTCATCACTTTTTGAAGTGACATTGTTATCACACAATCCCTAAAGATGATGTTGTAAGATCCCATGAAAAAGATGTTGTCATAGGTTCCTAGAAGAATGAACTTAAAGTAGAGGAGAAAGAAAAAGAAAAAGAACCAAGATCCCATAAAGAAAAAGAAGAAGTTGACGCAAGATCACAAAGAAAAAAGAAAGATGTATCGTCAACTTCTTATGTGTCATCTCCCTATACCGTTCGACCTCAATTTCCTTCGAGGTTAATTAAACGCGATAAACAAGTTTAGGAAAAAGAAATCTTTGATGTTTTTCAAAAAGTGTCAAGGTATGCCAAATTCTTGAAATATCTT